AATAAAATAAAGGAAAAGAACCACACGATCGTACCAATTGATGCAGAAAAAAAGGAGGATGGAAGGAAAGTTCTGGAAACAAAACAGGACAAACAAACAAAAATGGCTGCGAATCCATGGAGATAGAAAGAGAATGGACATGGTAAAGCATAGTTGGTAAGGTCTGACTAGAATATGAGTGTGAAGAAATGAAAAGTGGAGACGTTAATAATAGTTAGCTCAAGAATGGGCTAATATGGTGTGCTAAGGATATAGGATTCTGTCTCACACTTTAATAATAATGGTATTAACTAGTATGAACCATTTATTCAGTGTCTGGCATGGTTATGGGCACTTTATGTGAACTGAGTTCATTTAATTATCTCAACAAGTCTATGTAATAAATATTGTCTTTGTTTTATGGAGAAGGACACTGAGGTATAGAGAGGTTAAATAAATTGACCAAGGTCATCCAACCAATAAGTAATGAGTCCAGGAATCAAGCCTAAACAGTCATACTCTTGACCACTGGTTCATGGGCCTAGATAACAGGTCAGTGGTGTTTTTTCAACAGAGGACCGATATGATCAGATTTTATTTTAGAAAGAGCACACATAGTATTCAGAAATTGGAACTTGAGGACAGTTGGAGGGGAGTGGTAGAGAAGGGATGCAAGGGGACCAGTCAGGAGACTTGCACAATATTCCAATCAAGAGGTGAGGACCATCGTAACCCGGAAGCTCAGGAAGAAACCCAAAAACCCTTCCAAGTCTTGGTATGGAAGGTGTATCTAAGACGTGTCTAAGGTACAGCAGGTACGACACATGCCCTAGGAGTCACCTGGAAGGGGTGGGTATTGCCAATAAACAGTTAAGCACTGGACTGCAAACCACAAGGTTGGCAGTTGAGTCCACCAGCTGTTCCACGGGAAAAAGATGAAGCATTCTGCTTCCACAAAGATTTACAGCCACCGAAATGCTATACATGGTTGCTAGGAGTTGGAACCAACTTGACGACACTTAACAATTCAACATCCCAGTTTCCATCTCCAGCTGTGAGAGATCACTAATCAATTTGAAACAAATTGCCATAGGCACTATTTTCTATAGATATGCCTGTACATTTGGCCTAGAGAGACTTACTGTATCTGACTCTTACAGAAGATTGTTTTTGAGGATTCCCTCCTGCTGTACATAACAAAATTATTTCAGTATTAACCATAAAATGGAATGAATAATGATAATAGACAGGAAAAAACCCCCCACAAATAATGAGATGTTTTTCCACTGAATGCAAAAATGAAGATTTTGCACAAAAAAAGGAGAAAAGAACAATGCAATCCTTCAAGTACATTAATATACTTTTGGGGGAAAAGGGGAGCTATGTATTCATACATATTGGAATACTGGTGTAGTGCTGTAGGATAAGCACTGGACTGCTAACACAAGGTTGGTGGTTTAAACCCACGAGCAGTTCTTTGGAAATCCTATATAGAGTTGCTATGTGTCAAAACTGACTCAACAACACTTTACAACAACAATTGGTTCAAAGCAAGATTGAATAGTAAGAAGATCAAAGTATACCCAATCAGTTGCTGTGGAGTCAACCTTGAACCATGACAACCCCATGTGTGTCAGAGGAGAAATGTTCTTTCTAGGGCTTTTGGTAGCTGATGTTTGGGAAGTAGATGACTAAAACATTCTTCTGAGACATCTCTGAGTAGATTCTAATCTCCAACCTTTTGGTTAGCAGGCAAGAACATTTACTGGTTCATCCCAGGGTTCCAACTGTGCTCAACAAGCCCATAAACCTATGTGAGAGAAAGACTTTTATGAATCATTTTTCACAAGATAAGGGAGGGACAGCAAAAGTGTTAGAGGGGTTATTGAGTTAAGTAGAAACTCATCAGACTGACAGAGTAAAGGGCAAGATGCAGGCACCCCAGAACAAGGAAATGTGAAAGGTGGAGGCATGCAGGTATGAAGGCGCCTCTAAGAATTGAACACAAGTCATTTGGTTTGGCCAACCCAAGAGTCCATGGGTGAATAAATTACCTACAGAGAAGATGACCTTAGAAAAACAGTTGTTACATTATTGTTAGATGCAATCAACTCACCTCTGACACATAGCGACAACATATAACATACAACAGAGTGAAACACAGCCAGGTCCTGCTTCATCCTCACAATCATCGGAGATCATTGATGTAGTATTGTGTCAACCCATCTCACTGAGGGTCTTCCTCTTTTTCACTCACCCTCTATTTTACCAAGCGTGATGCCCTTTCTAAGGACTGGTAACTCCTGATAACATGTCTAAAGTACGTGAGACAAAATCTCACCATTCTCTCTTCTAAGGAGTAATCTGGTTATACTCCTTCTAACACAGATTTATTCATTCTTCTGGGTATGTTCAATATTCTTCAACAAGATTATCATTCAAAGGCATCAATTCTTAAGTCTTCCTCATTCGTTGTCCAGCTTTCACATGCATATGAAAAAATGAAATGTCACTCCCAAATTCATGCGACCCTATAGGACAGAGTAGAACTGCTCCTTGGGGTTTCCAAAGTTGTAATTTTTTATGGTAGTAGGTACCCTCATCTTTTTTCATCAGAGGAGGTGGTGAGTTTGAACTGCCAACTTTGCCGTTAGCAGCCCAATGTGTAGCCCACTACACCACCCACTGTGTTCCTTATATGCAGATGAGGCGATTAAAAATCCCATGGTTTGGGTTAAGCACACCTTAGTACTCAAGGTGACATCTTTGTTTGTTTGTTTTTAACACTTTAAAGAAATCTTTTACAGCATCTTTGCCCAATGCAATATGTTAGATTTTCTGACTATTACTTCCAGGGTGTGTGGACTATGGATCCAAATAAAGTGAAATCCTTTACAACTTCAACTTTTTCTCCATTTATCATGGTGTTGCTTATGGGTCCAGTTATGAGGATTTTTGTTTTCTTTATGTTAAGATGTAGAGTAGGGAAGGGACCAAATTGTAAAGGGGTTCGCACACTAAGGAGGGTTTTTCTTAGGAAGATAGGTAGCAGTGTAGCTGATAGACCTGCTAGAATGGTCATGGAGGAAGCAGGAAGACTGCATAAGAGGGCGTGGGTACAACCAGTGGAATTGGGATAAGGAGCAAAATATGAGTGTCAAGGTGAGCATTTGAATACAGGCTCCGCTGAGGCTTGTTGTTGTTAAGTGCCATTGAGTCAGTTCCAACCCATGATGACCCTGGATAGGGTTTCCAAGGAGTGGCTGGTGAGCTTGAATTACCGACTTTGTGGTTCAAACCAAAATTGCAGTCCAGCACATTAATCTACTTAATCTCAGTTTTTACTAGACCTTTGTTATTTTTAATGTACTGCATGAACCCAGCAGATATATCTCACATATAAAAGGTGTTTAAATGAGCACTTAACAATACTCCTCACTATGCCTACTCAGATAAAGTGAGTACTCTTTAAGCAGTTACTCCAAAAATGTCCTTTTGGCAGGGTAGTCTTAAATTCTGCTTTGTTGAGGGCAGTTTGGGCTTAAGTCAGACTGCCTGGGCAAATATATGAACAGCGCACTCTTCACTATCAGAAATGTCCTGATTTTGATGATGAATTATATAGTAATCCCATCTTTTGAGTCCCTGAGTGATGATGCAGGTGCTAAAAAGGACAAGTTCAAGTTCATTCAAAGCACTTTGGAAGAAAGGTCTGGCAGTCTACTTTCAAAATGTCATCCATTCATGTGTAAAAGAAAAAATGGAGGGAATAGAAGCACATACTGTTGAATGATGATTCATGGAGGGGATTGTAATCATTGCAATGAAACAAAATACGATGAGAATAAAACTGATGTTCTCCCATGTAAACTATAACTCACAATAAAAAAAAAAATCACAATAAAAACTTTAAAAAAAATTAACCGACTGTACTTCAGCAGGAAGTCCAGAAATTATCTATCAAAGGCCCAGAGACTTGAGGTCACATTTCACCTCATTTATTAAAATGCTTTTGGCAAATTAAATTATGATGAAGCACCTAGTAAAAAAAAATGCATCCATTCAAAATGTGTGGAGTACAGTTCTACTCTGACACACAGGTGGTTGCCAGGAGTTGGAGCAGATTAATGGCAACTGGTAAACCTCTTTGGGTAACCACCCTGGAAAGGACTTCAGTATGTTCCTAGATGAGACAGTGGGATGGATCTTGATGGTGGTGAGGCTAGAAAGAAATCTTGTGTCTGATTCCTGCCTCTACCAATCCAATTTCTCCACCCTAAAAAATTCCCCCACATTTCTCTAGAAGAACTATCAGGGAATGCAACTTTGAGGGAAAGTAGAAAGAGCTCTGGCAGGAGAGGGAGTCTGTGGGTTAATACGCGGAACTGCAAGGTCCGTTTGAATCTCAAAGTAGCCGGTTCAAACTCACCAGCCACTCCTTGGAAACCCTGTGGTCGCTATGAGTCTGAGCCGACTCAACAGCGCTTAACAATAACATCCACAGCTCTGTCCCCAAAGAAGCTGTGCAGCTTCTGGTAAGGTGACCACATCTCTGAAGCCAGAGAACTCAGACAGATTGCTTCTAAGATGTTTCCTTGTCCTAGGTAACTCCCAAGGGGTTTTACGGGAAGTCAACAATATGTGCAGCTCCCAGGAACTCTCACCTTCCCCAGGTAACCACAGGCAACCACAGCTCTGTGGTCCCTCACTGTCTTATTCTTGCCTCTACCCTGGGGTGTGACCACCGTCATAGGTTTCTTAAACACAACAGACTCTCAAAGCTTGTCTACAACAGCACCAGGCCTGATTCAGGGGGCCGCTAATTGCTGGCAGAACAGAGGCGCCTCCTCACGGTCCCATTTAACAACCCATTCACTAGATGGGCTGGAAGTCCGGGGGGGCCCTGTTCCATCCAGTCCCAGCCGCCCCCAAGGGTGGAAAACTGGAGGTCTCCTAGGCAAACGAATAGTTAAATACAAGCACAAACCTTTTCGTCTAGTTTGTTTTGTTTTGTTTTTTACCTTGACCCCCTCTTCCCAGCCTTTCCTGGGGGCGGGGACATGTCTTTGTTCTACTGGTTGAGAAGGCCCGCAGCCCATACTGCACGCTGCGCCTCTGGGTTTCACCGTGTGGCCCCGTGCTGCCGCTGTCCTGCGCCCCTGCGCTCCAGTGCGTCCTCGCGGTCTTGCGCCCCTGCGCTCCAGTGCAACTCAGGGCTCTCACCTTCCCCGCTTACAGGTTAGAGGCTGGAGGCGGTTAAGCATTTGGGCAGTTGCCAGGAACTGTTGCCACAATAAACCGCGTCACGCCGACCTGGGACCTGGGAGGCTATGGGGCTTTTGTAACTAAAAACTAAGAAGCTGAAGGCATCTTAATCACGTCAGTGACGCAAATTCCAGTCTACCCGTTGGGCTGTTAACTGCAAGGTTAGCAGTTTGAATTCACCGGCAGCCCTGTGGGAGACGGATGAGGTTTTCTGCTCAGTAAAGATGAATATCCCTGGGAATCCTCTGCATGACCCTTATGAGTTGAGGGCACACAGCAGCAACAGTAGCTGAGAGAAGTGAAGGGACAGTGTTGTTCCCAATCATAGTGACCCTGTAGAAGGTTCTCGAGGAGCAGCTGGTGGGTTTGAACTGCTGACCTTGTAGTTCACAGTCCAGTGCTGATCCTACAGTGCCACATGGCTGAATTTGTTTTAAAAGTACAGTGGTTATCTGCATCCTGCAGATACTTCATTTTTTTTTCCCCCCCCCTAAGGAGCTCTGGTAGCGTAGTGGTTACGAATTGGGCTGTGACCTGCAAGGTCAGCAGTTTGAAACTACCAGCTGTTCCGGGAGAAAGATGAGGCTTTATGCTCTTGTACAGGGTTGCTATGATGAAACTCATATCAAAGCATTTATAATTATCAAAACAAAGCTAAAAGTGCTTTGAGGAGTAGCTCTGTGAAACTACTAAAAAGTATTAACTGAGTGAAATGTTAACGTGTTGTTGTTGTGAAGTGCCGTCGAGTCGATTCCAACCCATAGCGACCCTGTATAGGGTTTCTGAGGAGCAGCTGGTGAGCTTGCACCAACAGTTCAAATGGCTTTGCACTAACCCACAGCGCCACACCAGTTTGTTGTTTGAAGTGCTGTGGATTGGTTCCTCACAGCGACCTTGTACAGGGTTTCCAAGGCTGTAAATCTTTATGGGAGCAGAAAGCCTCACCTTTCTCCCGCGGAACAGCTTGGTAGTTTGAAATCAAGTCATAGTGGGAAATATGTGTATCATGAAAGTCAGTGAATCAGGATTTTTTTCCCCAGAGGGCCAGATTTTAAACAGCTACCAGCACATTAGTGCCTTTTCCCTTATACTCCGGAAAATTGAAGGATGGCTGTGTTCCTTTGGCCTTTCTCTGTCTCTTTCACCCTAACTGCAGAAAGCTGTATGTATCAGTTTCATGGTTCCCGCCACACTGCAGCTGGGCCTCTGTTCTAAGGTTCTGGGCTGTAAGTTCTTAAATACCAAACTCTCGCTGACTATATTAACATCTGTATCATGATTAGACAATTATGTGCTGACCTTCATTCACAAACATATTCTAAATGACTAATTATTATTGTAATAGTTATCATCTTTGAAGACTGCCGTGTTTAGAGCAATGTTCATAGTGCTCTGCATGCATTTGTTTAATTCTCACAGCAACCTCATGAGACAGATATAAATATTCAACAGTTATGTAGTCCCGGAATAACACAAACAGTTTAACACTTGACTGCTAACTAAAAGATTGGAGGTTCATGTTGGAAGTTCAAGATCCTCAGAAGAAAAGCCTGGTCATCTACTTCTGAAAACTCAGCCATTGAAAACCTTTGTAGAGCACAGTTCTGCTCTGACACACATGGGTTGGCCATGAGGACAAATCAACTTAACTGAACCTGGTTTAAGCAGATTAAATATCACGTCCAGGGGCATCGTGTAGAAAGTATCATCATTGGAATTTGAATGCAGATGGATAAGTTAGCTTCTCCTTCTAGGCCTCTTCATCCTAGTTCACACACACATACACACACACTTCTCTACATCCACAGATACACAAATGTATATGTGTTTAGGAATGACTGATACTAATTCTTAGATCAATATGAGATGGTCAAACCTTTCAGAAACATGCTAAAAAAAGACACCTAACTTTCAAATTAGGGGTCTGAGAAAGCCTAAGCTAGCTTTGTAAGACTCTGGGTTCCATCACAGAGGGTGATAACATCTCTGTCCCTTCTGTGTAATTCAGTGTTAGGTCTCTCAACTTTCTATCTCACTATGGTTATTTTGGAGTCTTGGTGTGGTGTTGCGAGTTAATGCACTGGACTGCAAGGTTGGTTTGAACTGCCTTTGAGGACATTTGACAACAACAACAATGGTTATTCCAGGACTCCCTAGGGATGCCAATGGCTTGGCATGCTTGGCTGCTAACCAAACTGTTGGAGGTTGGAGTCCACGCTTGATTTTCTTTGGAAAAAGCAGACCTTGGCGGTGCTGTGGGTTAGCATTGGTCTGCTAACTGCAAGGTCCAATGTTCAAATCCACCAGCCCCTCTGAGGAAGAAAGATTCACAGTCTCAGAGACACTGTATTAGAGTAAATATGATGACAACTGGTAATGGTTCTTCCAGTAAATGCATTGTATGGCCAGCCCCCCC